ATTCATTGTAATTTTACACACAACTTGACATTTGACATCGTCAATTATTAATGTATATCATCGTGATCAAGCAATAAAATTTAATCACTTGTTTACAAAAATGTTTGCTTGTCCATGTAGAATATTAAATGTCATAGTTAATATATATTTCCTGCATTCTGTAATTTCGATACTAATTTCTTTCGAAATCCAAGAACGTTCCATTGCGTGGACGGATAGACAGATTGCTCAATAAAAAATGTAAAAAATCATAGATAGAAAGTCTCTCTTTTATTTCAATTTTATACATTGAAAAAGTGTTTACGTATAATTCCTAATTTTGTATTATATTTATTATTTAGTTTCAAGAAATACCGAATATCTAACATATCATGAGAACGATCTCATCCAAACGAATTTCAATAATTTGCTACTTTTGCACCCATACTACATATGTGTACGCGCGCGCGTACAAGGTGTACGAGAGAGAAAACAGATTTTTCGATCGAGTGTTCACCGAAACCAGTCAATGATGATGATAGAGAACACAGTCTGACATTTTTTTTTCTATTTAAAGGGAACCATTTCGTCAGCGAAAAAGCGATTAGCGTCACTGATGATTGCGAAAGGACGTAATATTCCTGTGACGCATGCAAAATACCGATCGATGAATGACTCTCCGTCGCGCAGAGTGCAAACAAACACCGCGCGAATTTCAAAACGCCGCGAGACGTACGATGCAATCACGGCGTTACACGGGATACATATAAATCATCGTAATTTTACACGGCTTGACATTTGACGTCGCGTTATAAACGGGCTCCTCGTCTGACACGTATGTGCGCGCGTCTATAGATCTGCCTGTCTAAATCGCGCTTATTAAATGATCGCCGCGTATAAAATCGCTTCTCACTCTCAGCCGCTAACGCGTAGTATACGATCAAATTAGTGGGTATACATATATGTGACGAAATAGTCGCGCTCGTGACTAGAGAAAGTAATAGAAGAATATACATAAAGCGTGCCGCGTGATAATTAGCGCTCTTAAACGTACAGAATAACTCTTAAACATACGTCGGTTTTCCGACCACGTAAAAACAGATAGACTGTGCTTATCCGTCGTTTGAAGTTTTAATGTCAATTTGCGCACGATGATGTCAAGACATGAAGTATTTTTCCTAGCACCGTTCTAAAGTCAGTCCAATTGGATTGAACGGTTGTTTTCGTTAAATTCTCTACGGGTTTCGTGTTTTGATAGATCATTATACTTAACTAGAATTTGGCTAGGAAACTCGGATGATATAAATTTGAAGTAATCAAAGCCTAATCGCTCCTTTGCTAACGAAATGGTTCTCTTTAAATGAAAAAAAAAGAATGTCAGACCGCGATCACCATCTTGTCTCGATTGTACACTCAATCGAAAAATCTTTTCTCTTTCCCATACACGCGTGCCATATACGTGTGTAGTATATGGGTGCAAAAGTCACAAGTTATCGAAACTCGTTCAGCCGAGGTCGTTTTCTATTATCCGGTATCTCTTGAAACTAGGCAATCGTCAGAATACCAAAGAGATCATTAATGTCACGCCAAGAGTGGCTCGAAGTCAGCAAGGCTATATCCTACAAAGTCGGAAATGTTTCGGTAAAGAGTATTGGAAAGGCCTCTCGTGTGCATGGATCAGTTAAGCAGAGAGAAAAAAAAAGGAACGAAACTACAGACGTGGCCTTCGTTATACCATATGACTCCGTGATTTTTTACATTGCATTTATCACCCACCTCGATATAGGCAGAAAGTAAGATTCAACGTGAGACATCTTTCGCAACACCTTTTCTTTGCGAAGGCGTAACTTTTGCGATCTACAGATTCTGCAAAACCCCACCGGCGACAGCGACTACGATATAGTTGAAACGAGTATCCGCTAATGATGATGAATGTGTTCAAGGAATTGTGTGGTTTACGCACTCTTGAAACTCGAGATATTAGAGAGGCGAGATATTAAGTGAATGCGGCCTGGAGAAAAATAACAGATGTCCGGTGGTTTACTGTTTCGTCATCGATTTGTCGTTTCCATTATCGTCGTTTAAATTCTATTACTCGAGCGGTTGCAATCGTGCGATTAACTTTATGCGAAATATATATATTAGCTCAAGATCATTTTTTTACTAAATCTGGAGTATGATATGTGTAACGGCACGATTACATCGTACGTTTGGAAATTCGCGCGGTGTTATTTGTTTGCACTCTGCACGACGAAGAGTCATTCATCGATCTGTTATTTTGATAGAGCGTCACGCGTCATAGGAGTATTACGTCCTTTCGCAATCACTAGTAACGCTAACCGCTCCTACGCTGACGAAATGGTTCTCATTGAATAAAAAATGCCACTGTGTTCTCTATCATCATCACTGACTTGTTTTGATGAACACTCAATCAAAAAATCTTTCCTCTCTCTCGTACAGCATACTATGGGCACTAGGGTCGCAAACTTTTTTTTAGAGAAAACTTCTCGAGATCAGATCCTTTATGTAACTCGACGAAAAAACATGGAAATGTACAAGAACTAATTTTTCTCAAGTGATATGCGATTAAAGTTGTTCAATCATGGTGACTAACACGTTTACATTTTTGGATACGATACGCCACGCTATAACTAATCGCAAGTTAATAGTAAAAAATATTACAGCCTTGACATTTCCAGTTGTTTCAAGGTCTATGTTACTATAAGTGACTTACATCGATGAAAACAATATTAAGAAATTCATCATAAAAGTTCTGCTAAATATTTGCACAGATATTAACGAAAATACATATCACTTACACACATACACATCGGTGAGTTACCGATATAATTTACATAAAACATGACATTGTTTAATAAAACGCTATTTAATAAAATGTTGTTTAATAAAACAATGCGAATATATAAGAATATTTTTTAGATAGTTTTTAGTTGCTTTAGATCTTTGTTTTTGTTTAAACATTGCCATGGTATCGTTTGCTCATTATCACAATAATGTATTCACTGTAGTGTTTTCGCTCTGCACCTCCTCTATATTGTCAACATATGTAAAATGAGGAACTCGTGGTCGCTGGAGTTCAAACAATTGCAGAGTCGCTTGTACAAGTATTACACTAAAACCAAGGATTTCGACATTGACTCCGATTACCCATAGCCGCAATCGATCTCTGTTGCTCGAGGTTTCACAATAATAATGCACAAATGTGCTCACAATCTTCGATATTGTTGAAATTTTCAGGCCGCCGACTGGTACAATACACGAAGATCGTAACAATTATGTAAATCAGCAGGCGCGTTTTGTTTCTCTTCTGAGAAGGCGACTAAATTCCCAATACCCGATTTGATAAGTTTTATTTGACGACAAATCGTTTTATAAATTGCATTCCTTCCTTCTCCCTCTTTATTTTTATTGTAGGTACTTTTCTGACGCAAGTGAGTTACACAACGACAGTAAAAATACCTGCTGTCGCTCCTACAGCCGCACTCTAATATGGTACTAACACTGTTGAAAAGTACATGTATATTTTTAAACTTTCTCACATTGTGTCGAAAGAGTATCATACTGTTAAATAGGTTTCTCAAAAGTTGGACAAACAAGCAGACGCAAAATGTAATGATAGTATGCGAACGAAGCAGAATAAAATAAAAATAAAAGCTCCTTGTATGTGTGTGTGTGTGTGTGATCGAAATATTAATATTAAATGAACTAACAAACCATATAATAGTGTATATATAAAAATAGCCTATGTATGTAAAAATAAAATTTAATAAAAAGAACTAAATATTTCTCTCTCTCTCAGTCAATATTATGACTACAAAAAATACTGTCTGTACGTGTATTTATACATTTCGATCCTGTTTTAGATTATCTCCAGCAATGAATATATATAATAATAGAATGAAAAAGTTTATTGGATATTGTAACAATCAAATTTTTAAAGAGTCCACGTATAATTTAACAATAGTGACGCAACTAAAATTCGTGGTGAGCGGACGAAAAAATGCATGGAAATCAAATAAACTAAGATATTCGGCTTATAGTTTGAATAATATAGGATGAGCCAAATAATCGTAAACAAGTGTGACCTATTAAAATTTTAAAGAATCAAAAACCGGAATCTTTAACAAGCTAATTTAATTTTAACTTAGTTTTTAATCAAGATTTCGTTTATGTTAACTTTTAGCGTGATTGACTCTTTCCGGTCGTATTTTCTGTACAGTTGTACTGGTTGGAATTATTTTTGGGTCGCGCGCGCTTAAGCAATTATTGCCTAAAAAACGTATAAATTTTATTCAAATAAGTACATAATTATTATTTTCTATCTAGGTATTAGATATTTCATGTATATTTATAGTTTTTTTTTACATAGTATAAAACCTATCTTGCCGGGAATATTCCGGAGTTCGATTGTAAAGAGTTAAGTTAATTTTATATGTGATAATTAACTTTAAACTTGATTTACTCAGAAAAAAAATTAACTCTTACGCAACTCTGCTAATATCTAGTTTCTTTAAATATTTTAATATCGAGATACAACCTCGATTTTTATTAGTGCTTGCCATAGACGGGTCTTCAAAAAAAACCGTCTTTTACCTAGCGATTATTAAGTACATAGTCTATTTATATTAACTTTGTAACTGAGTTTATATAACTGACCTTTAAATCAATTTTTTGCTGATGTTCACGCAAATGACACATAAAGATATCAAAACTGTTTATAGCTGATTTAAATTATTGCTCTTCCGACTAATTAAATAGTTACGAGAAACGCACATCTATGAATGATTGAGAATTTGGTATAACTCTCGATTTTATAAACGATAAAGCATCTGCGTAAGGAAACGTTCAATCGAGAGTGAAACGGTTTGACCATTTTGTTCCTAGTGAAATTAGTAATCTAGAAAAAATATAAGTACGAAAGTAAGGAGAGAGGGAGTGAGGAAAAAGAAAAAAAAAGAGAGGAAGAGAGACAGCGCTCTCACATTACTTTCATATTTATATTCTTCTTGGATTCACAGTTTAGGTTGTGCTGTCGAATGTTTCTTATTATATCTAGAGCACAAGATTCTTCAATTTTTTGAGTACCACTATCGCAACGATTTAACCTAGAATACTCTTGGTTATATCAACAGGTTTCACGTCGACTTGACAAATGTTACTTTCACATCACGTATTATCGGTGCAGCTCCCATAAACCAATTACCATGCAAGTCAGTGATCCTCAAATACATCTAAACAGTGAACAGTGATCCTCAAATACATCTAAATATGAGTAACTAACTTCACTAGAAAAGAAGTGTTTTTCTTGCTCTCAAATATATGTATGCTCGGTCAAAGTACGCTCTGAAAACCTTTTTCGTTCCAATAGGAGAATCTATTTGGAAGTAATTCCTCAAAGGTAGGTTCTCTCACTGAATATCTGCTGCGTTCTGAAATACATTGAAGGAAATGTGTTTAATCGTATTGAAGCAGAATATACACGACAACGTTAAAGGGAGACAGGAGACCGGTCTAAAGCCACAGAGATACACCGGCTGTCCGTGATCCGCGTTGCGGAGGACGTCCTCGCCGTTCAGGTGAGTCGCAAAAGGGGGAAAGAAGCGTGGTGCACGATGCATTCGTCACACTGAAGGCACGAACTCATCCGCCACTCCACACACACGTTGCCCGCGGACAGTGCTTCATCGACATCGACCGGCCAGCGATTCGTTCTTTACGCCTACCACCACCGTGCCCTGCGAACGGCCCCTATTTCTGTCTGATTTTTCCTGGGGCTCGATTCAGTTACGCACGCCGATCCGGTGCGCACAAGCGCGAACCACGAGCGGACGATCGCGTAGGCAGGCCGCAGCTGCTCGCGAAAGTGCGCGGTTTCGAGTCGACAAGCTGAATCGATACACTGGCCGCTCGATCAGTCTCGATCCCTTGCTAATAAGCAGGTCATATCGTGATCGCGCGAATCGCTCGGGGTTGTGGGACTCCGAGACGATCATCGAGGGATCGCAAGTCAGCAAAGCGACACGTGACATTCGCCGACAATTCGCGCAAGTTCTGACTTCGCGGGAGATAAATCTCAGCCGAAATAGCTACGTGAGTATGCATAATCGGTGCAACAGTACATTAAACTCCGCCAAAAGAATTCCAAATGTCACGCGACCTGTTCAATCGAGCGCCTGTTCAACAGTCGCTCCGTTTCGACTTTGGTCGCGCGAGTGTTGAGCCGAAGCAGCCCGCAAAACACGGACAAGGAATCAGTTATGCGATTAACTGGAAACAATTCTCGGAATTAATTCATTCCAAACTGCTATTTGATGAATTAAATCATCATCTCATAACACACCGTGCGAATATTTACACTTGGCCTTATTGAAATCGCTAATTATACTTTGCACACCGGAAGAGGACAATAGGACTTTAGAAAAAGGTCTCAAGGTTTCTGCGCAACAAGTGAAGTCACGTACAGCTTTAAAACTTACATTGAGTGCTTATAGTGAAGCTCCGTCTACATAGCTGGCAGAACGCAAGACGCAAGTCACAGACACAAACACAAGATGATGTATCAGCTCACGCGTAATTGTACTCGCGCTTCACGCGACGAATTAATTCAACTCGAATTTTCTGCGACTGCGTTACTTCTGCAGTTGCGTTTTGTGCTTGCGTTCACCGATCGCAGGAGAAAAGATTTCGAAAAGAGCATGAGATTATTGTCTTCGTAACCAGAACAAAACAAATCTATTTTGTGATTAGTGGGTTTGCCTGTTACACTAATAGATATGAGCGCAAGTGTATATGAGAGCTCTGAAAAAACGCGCCAATTAATTACGTTGGTGTACCACAATGAGAAGTAATTTCAAAGCAACGACAGGCACCGATACAACTTCTTATGCTTTGCATTGCAACGCAGGCGCTCGCCTTGGCGACATAATTTGCGGATTGCGAGTGCATTTTGCGTATCCTGCATATTTGCGACCTATTGTGTTCTGCGAGCTATACGGATGCGATTTTATGCGATTCCTGCATGAAAATAATATTGTGTGTACTATATATAATCTTCATTCCTCGTAATATTGAAAAAGTGAGGAAGTGAGGCAGGGAGATCTTCAAATTATACTATACATATATGATTTACCTTCTCATAATGCAGCAAGAAGAGGTGGAGTCAAGTGTCAAGTGAATTCATGTGATCATTAATAATCATTAAATTTTCCTTGCAAATTAACGCTTTGTTCAACAGAATATATGTTTTTAGCTTTATGACGTTTTATCCTGACGTTTTATCAAGTGACTTTAAAGAATCACGCGCTTCTAAGCCCGAGCGCGATTAGCTGTTTAAATTATACGGTGTAAAGTTCATCTTCAGGAGATTCAGTGAAAGTACAACCTCGTTATGATGAAATTTTGATGGAATGAATTCCTTGGACTCTTAAATGTCTATTTCCCCCGCGATTATTAATGATTGCGCACGTGTGCACGCACACATGGCTATTAAAACTAATTAACTATATTTCTTTCTAAGCGTAATATCTCGATGAATTAGAATTGCAAGAAATAATAGGAGCCGTCGTGCCGAATGCTTCTTGTGTGACCACGGCTCACCTCTCTGGCCTGAATTCAGTTTTAACCCGATTTGGTGTGAACTTCTGGTACAGGTTTTACGGATAAAGCGGATTCACTAACACAGCGATAGAAGAGGAAAAGAGGAGAAATATACCGTAACATTAGGATCTCTTTATTGCCATTAGACGTCGTTTTTCGTTTTTCCTTCCTTGAAATTGATACTCTTCACATCATCATGATATACCATTCACATCCTTTCTATATGGTAATGCAAATAAAAAGATTCTATCTAAATCTATCATATCTTCACTCGTATACTGATCGCTGATTCAACGTAACTGTCAGCGTAACTGTCCTTTTTGCAACTGATAAAATCGTTTCGATGAATGCGAGTATCGCAACAAAAACTTATCACTTATACGTTTGTTTTGTTGCTGTTGCGCATTGGGGATCGTTTTTATTTACATCTTAACTTTGCGATAATTCCGAGAAAATTAGCGTGATCCGAGAAAATTCTTATAAAATATTGAAATATTCTACATATAATATCGAAAGAAACATAATGTTATGAAAATTACTTTACAATCTTATCGAAAGAAACATAATGTTATGAAAATTACTTTACAATCTTATCTACATACTCACTGCAAGTAACAAACATCCAAATACATTATATACAATGAAATGTTATTTTTCCACATACGGTAGCTCTCTAACATCTCTACTATATATTTAACATAAATAATATTTAACATAAATTTTTAACATAAATAATTATTGAATCCATCATTAGATATATATTATTCTGCTGCTGCATTAATATTAAATTGCTCTGCCCGCATACATTAAGAATAAAGCATCCACCGATCACGAAGTCGCGGAAAATTTTCTCGACAACGCGAAGGACGCGAGAATGGATGGCTGGAACTTTTAAGGACGCGGCCGAGAAAGCCACTGGCTTAAATGCGAATGACCGATAATAACGTACCATTATTTTATCCGAGTACCTATCGACCGCAAAATTGTTTATACATCGGTATGCGGCCGATGTTGTAGAAGGGCGAGTGAAGAGATGCGTGAGACTAACGGGAGCCGCGTGTACGCGTGGTTTGCGTGTCGAAAGGTGGGATATTAGAAGGAATCACGGCTTCGCGAAGAATAGGATTTGGTGACTGACAGAGCTTTGAGACTTTCTACTATTAGAACCGCGAAATATGGTAATCGCCGATTTCTTATTGACAACGAGCCCGACGTATCAGATATTATTTCTATCCGCGTACTTCACGGCAATCCCATCGATTATGTGCTCCATAGACCTCTTACCTCTCGTTGGCCAATTATCGAAGCTGCACACGACGCCGATAGTGGATTACGCGCGCCGATTAAAACTTACAACACTGATACCTAACTTTTGAGATTGTGCGGCGGCAAGCAAAGAGAGGAGGGAGGGAGGCAAGAGTTCCGATCAATTTCACCTGATCGATCGATTTCTCCACGATGATGCAATTTGCACAACAATGGAGTCGTGGTCGCGGATAATTTGCACTTTTGTAGCTTGGCACATTGTGTGTTTTATTTATGTATTTCTCTTATCCAAAGTGTTCACGCCGCGCGGTACCGCATAACTCGTTTCGCAAAACATGAATGAACGTTTTGCCGGTCATGCCGCGACGCGACGTAATCGTAAAAATATATAAACAGCGCAATAAATAAAGTACATACCACAGGAAAATATTTCTGCCGAATGCGGGGTCTACTAATCAGCGTAGATTAATCAAAGCAGCTAATAATACGTCACAATACGTATAGTTTGTGTTTAGATTCCCGGTAATAAATTCTAGATATAAAGTTGAAACTAAATTAATTGCATTCGAACATTTATTTTATTTTCAATTAACTTTATCAAAATATCGACGAAACATACATATATCTTATGAATACGCTAATTAATTTTGTTTTTGTATTTTACATGCTTAATTACTGTGAAAGTTGCGCAGTTACATGATTTCTCGTACAATTAAACAAGTCAACCACAAAAAAGAAACTAGTCTATAAAAACTTGTAAGAATCGCTATGGAAGTCGTCTGTTTTCTTGGCGACCTTCCACATCTATAATCTGTAATATTATTAATTCACCAATACTTCCGAGTACATACCCAATGTATGCGATTAAATTAGAATAAAAAATTATTTTGAATTATTCATTAGTGCATATTCTCGACATCAGGTCTCTTTACCAGTACCGACGTCGATTTTTATCAGCATCAGATTTAATAATTTTGCCACCGGTTGATTTATGTTTCTTTACATTCCAAAGCTAACGAGTGCGATATGTTTTCTGGATTTCTCAGATCTAAGAGATATTTCTAAGTTCGTTAAGTATCAATGTGTATTACTCCTACGAGCAAATGCCGGCGATACACGAACACCAGGTGTGTAATCTAGATGATCGACATGTCGACAAATAGAATCTATTATTTTCGAGTACCATTGCTTTCGTTCAGAAAGGCTGAATACTTTGTGTTATACTTGCTCGTATACATATAAGATAAATTGTAATAATTCCGTATATTCGTATATTTATATATATGGACGAATCATAAATAATTCTAATAGTTTATGCGTATCCGCGATGAATTTTAAAGCAAAACGAATAAAAAACAAAAACAACCAGTTTTTTTCAATATTGACGTATACATATAATTACCATGTTCTCTCTGTGATTTTCCGTAGCTTATATCACGATGTTCTTGTTGCATTTGTCCAAGAAGTAAGAAAAAAAAGTTAATATTGAAAATAGTCTTGAAGTAACGAATTTCTTTCTATAAACTAGTTTTTATTGTAATTCTTACACTTATCTAAATAATAGAATAAAACAACGGGGAAATACTTTTCCAAATAAATACATTGTTATATAATTGCACCACGTTATAAAATTGAAATTGTTTTGCTCGCATGTTTATTAAAAGAATGTACAGTAATTACATGACGATAGTATTAAATGTGCGTTGCAAATTATTTTACCTGTTCAGACTCGTGCGCTTGGATCGTAATGCTTTTCGCAGCTCGGCGCATAAACCGAATTTTAGCGGTCATAATCTCACGGAACAAGTCTCAAGGTGGAACACCTTGTGAGTAAAGCCTTACGCAGACCTCTTTCTCTCAGTCACAAAAGGGCAATGCTGGCTTTATGGGACCTTCGCATATTCATGTACAGGTGTATCGGTCTTTGTTCAGAATTGGTTTATATGTATACGAAACTCTTTGAAGGCCGCAAAGTGCCTCTCTATCCCAGAGCGTGCGAGATTTCTTGCTTTTTATTACATAAAGATGAACACCTTCGACAATTAAAACTTATCCATTTAAAGTAGCTTACTCTCCTTTCTTTTTCTCTCCTTTTTTTATCTTAATTTCTCTTTCTCCGTCTTATCGAAATCATGGGTTTATCTCATCACGAAATTTTCTGGTACCTCAAGAGATCAATTGCGCTATTAGTTACAATTATAATTATATATATATATATATATATATATATATATATATATATATATATATATATATA